TTTTGTACAACATTTTTTAAACGTTTGTTAAGGTCCTTATATTTACGTTTTTTGGTTGGATTAATCTCACCTAAATTAATTTTCTCGATTTTTGCCTCTTGCAGCCCTTGTTCTTTCTTAAAGAAGTTGATAAATTTCCATATCGTGGTATGGTGTGATCCCAAACTTGTATTAAAAGCATGATGCCAACCCTCAACAGCGTTAGTAGTCCGAGGGAAATCCATAACTACATCATTGTAACAGTTCCACATTTCTAAGGGGAACATTGGATTTTTTCTCCTTTTCTACGAACTGTACGCCCAATCCATGTTTCTTCGAAATAATCTATTATTGGTTGAAGAACTTTTTCATTATCAACAAAATATTGGGAATTCAAAAGTTCTTCAAAAGCATTTGCTACATATTGAACCGGAATAAAAGCCAAAGCACACAAGTGTTTTATTTGGAGCGCAAATAAAGAATCTTCTCCATATTTTTTTTATAGACCATTAGTCTGTATTTTACGCCAAACACATTGTCCAAAATGGAAAAAACATCCTTTTATTACTGCATTAGGTTAGTTTTTACTAAACTTTTACTTAAATATAAACATGTTTTTAAAAAACGTTCGATTATAATATTAAATTCATTTGTGTTACTTTTAAAAATAAAATTATTATTTATTAAATGTATTAACTAATTAAATAAGTAAAAAAATAAAAAATAAATTATCGGATATTTTTGCCCCGGATATTTTTGGTACAGGATATTTTTTCACCGGACCAAATGTCGCGGATCTTTTGTCGCCGGATTTTATTTACCGGATCAAATGACGTGGAACCGCTATAATGTCATGTCGGTCAAAAGATCGTTGTCCAGAAAAGTGTTCTTGACCCAGTTAACCTACTGGGCAATTTAAAAACCCAACTGTAAAAACCAGAAGTCAAAACGAAATTTTATCTCAATTTAACAATACCCATAATAATCGATAATAATCGGTTATAATCGATAATAACTAATAAGTACAACAGTACAAAGGTCACACGAATTGGACCTTAATATCTTATCACCCCTCCCAGCCGAACACATCCGAGTGTCCAGTGAAATAGTGAATACTGAATAACACATAGATAATATCTTTATTATCTATGGAATAACATGACAAAATAAATAGGTAGTTATGTTAGCAACAATACGAGACGCAGTCCGGTTAGCGCATCCCACACTTCTCAACCATAGTCGTAGTTTGTCTCATTTCATTTGGCGAACCAGCTTATAGACGGAGTGTGGAATGGTCGACGAACCCGATGCGTATCAAAAAGTTGCTGACATACCTATCTATTTTGTCATGCTCAAACCGTATTTTATAATTATTTACCATCATAGTTACGTAATATAGCACTGGTTACCAATGGCGTGCCGAACTGACAAGCAGACCTGAGGCAAACAATTTGATTCCATTGTGGTTATTGGTTTATCGATAATGTTATTGCGCCTTCGGTAATGCAACGCTGCAATTCTTGATGGAAATACAGTATGCTACATGAAATCGGTAAAAATCGCTTTATTTCAGAACACCTTCATTTATTCGTATCAGTTATCAATATAGTGATTGTAAATATAAACATGGTTATCAGTTAATATTATGTGATAACGATTTTTTTCAAAATTGTATTTAAATTTAATATTTTCTACTTCTTTTTTCCGTTTGAGTATATTATATTTTGGTTTTACCTAGTATTTGTTGAAATGTTGAATAAACGTTAGAATGAACTCAAATAATGAAGTTTTAGCTGCTGTTGCTACAAGTATAGCGACTTTTATTCAAACGAGTGAAACAGAAAAACAGTTGGAAGAATGCTTGTTTCCGATTTCTGAAATGGATGATATATTTGTATTATATATTTTGAACATTCTTAATAGAAAACGAGCGATAAGTAATTTTGATTTAAGACAAAAGATTAGTGGGTATATTGACACTGTTTATGATCAAACCCCTTCAGAATTTCGATTCCATTTCCGCTTAACACCATCAGAATTTGAAGTTAGTATTTACTACGTTATTGTGTTTTATAGTATGTGTGTTTCGTATAATAATGTTAAATTTGTAATTTGTCTTAGCAAGTATTACTCGAATTACCGAATAAAACCCATTGCCTTGGACGATCTTCGCTTAAACCAGATTTAAAATTGTTATTAACTCTCTGGATTATAGCTAATGAAAAGGAAACATTCAGAAGTGTTAGTAATCGGTTTAATGTTAGTGAGTCTACCGCCCATGGAATATTTAAAGAAATTGTTCTAAGTCTTTCAAATTTAAAGAGCAAATATATCAAATGAAGGGTCCGGTGCAAGAACCGGGTATCTCCTCTTTTTGAAATTGTTCGGGAGAAACAAATAACCAAATTATTTGATTTCTAATGGGGGGATAAATATTGTTAACACATATTTGAATTCTCCAAATGAAGAGCTATCTATACATGTATACATATTTACATTTTAGATTATTTTAAGGACATAATTTAATTAGCAGAAATAAATAAACATGGAGATACCTGGTTATTGCACCAAAACGGATTTTTTTTTCCATATTTTGACTTAACAAAAATTTAAGGTGAAAATATAATCAGAAATAGTTCAAAACTGTGCAACATTAAAACTATGTATCATAAGCTATGTTATAAAACATAGTATAGAAAAATACGACAACTTATTGATTCATAATAATTAATTAACTAAAAACTACGGAGATACCCGGTTACTGCACCGAAACTCACGATTTTCCCAATTTTCTTTTTTTTTTTCGTGAATTAATTCAAAAGTATTGGGAATTGGATCTTTTCAAAGTACTAACTAGATTCACTTTTCTATCAGAAAAAGTACTGAAACCAAAATTGAAGCATTGTTATTGATAAAAAAGTGTTAAAGAACACACATTGTAAAATCAATCACTCCATCCAGAATCTGATACAGTTGTTACTAGGTTACTAGTTATTACTACCCAGTATAAAAAATTTAATTTACATTACAAAATAAACAACTAACTTTAATTTTATAAAATTAAACAAAATTAGTTATCATAGGTTAGGACGTTAAGCCGGGTCCAAACTAGAGCAACAAATATTTCCTGAATGTTGACAAGTGTTTCTGATTGTTTTTGTTTCCTTGGAACAAACTAGAACATTTATAAACACACTGTCCACATCATACGGGGTCGACGAGAGTCCACCTTGTCGTGGTGACCCCGCCCGACCGGACGCACGTCCGGCGCTAAGCGACTCTCAAACTGTCCGGAGCAGGCCGACTCCGGACTTCTAACCCCTGGCATGGACAAATGCAACCGCCGAACTTGCCCGCCGGCGGCCAGAGGGTGTAGGGCTACCTGGGGCAGCCCCCCAAACCTTAACAAAAATGAAAACACGTAAACTCAAAAATGATGGTACTGATACAGTGGCCTTGGAAACCACAGATCCGGCAGGTGTGGGTAAGCTCGCCACACCGGTCGTTATCACTAGCTTGGATTATACGCAAACGAACTCGGAAACGGATAACTTGGACATTAATGATACGGACATGAAAAATAACAGACATTGCTACTTCGCCCCGCTTAGGCTTAGGGGAGGCGGTGATAACGAATTGGATAACACAGATTCCAACAGCACAAGTGGTGACATGGGTGCTGGTGGCAGCCAGAAACGGGGTCCTACCTCTCCGGGTGGACTCCCAGCAAAACTGCCCCGTACGTCAGAGACGTCGGAGATCAATGATCTTATCGGGTTCTTGGAGCAAACCGTCCTCCAAGAAAAGGACAAGAAAAAATTGGGCGTCATGGTCGCCGAAAAAATGTTAACCAAAATAGCTAGATTGAGAACGGTCACTCAATCATTGGCACACGAAAACTACAGGCTAGTTGGCGAGTTGAAGGGTAAAGACGATGCCCTAAATCAGAGTCTCACAGTGTTTATCGGTAAGCTGGAGGCTAAGAATGCCGAAACCTGCGGCCTAAGTGCCGAACTGGAGGCGCTTAAGACTACAGCGTCACAAGACCCATGTACAGCGCAGCAGCCCTCGTACGCCTCTAAGGCGGCAAAGGCCATACAAAGGGTACCTAGGACGGAAACTGCACCAAAGCCCACAGCTGCACCGCAAACTAAGTCCAGGAATACGGTAAACAAAGAACAAATGGCCAAAAGTAGGAAAACTAAGGCAACGTCTCGTTTCCTTATAGAGATTCCACAGGATATGACCGTCGCAAGTGCGAAAGCCGGGCTATGGCAGGCGGTTAGGGCGAAATGTAGTAACCCTAAGGCGAAAATCATAGTCAGCGGCAAATCACTGGTAATAATTCCAGATGACGCCAATACGTTGGAGGTGATTAGGAGCATGAACAATTTTATAGAAATAGGCCCGAGGAAACCCCGTGTCATAATCTATGACGTCGACGGAGGCATAAGCAAAGACGAGCTGACCGAGTGTCTGTTGGCGCAGAACGCGGAGCTCGGGATAACGGCTGAGGATATGGGCAACTCAGTTCCGCTCCATAAGCTTGGCCCACGAAATGGAGACGCGGTCCACTGGGTGATGGAAGTTCCCCCAAGCGTTCTCGCCAAGATGGAAAATAAGTTGGTATATATTGGCATGACAAGATGCAGGTGCAAACTGCACAGCACACTTCCGCAGTGCTATAACTGCCAACAGTATGGGCACACGTCGGCACGTTGTGAGCAAAAGACGCCTTCGTGTAGGAACTGCGCAGGGCCCCACGACTCCCGGACTTGTAATGAGGACGGGGTGAAGTGCGTGAACTGCAAGGGACCGCACAAGGCGTCAAGCGGTATATGTAAAGCCAGAGGTCAGGCTACCCGCAGCCTGCTGAGGCGGACAGATTTTGGATCTCCGCAATGACCGAATCTATAAGATTCGCTCAGCATAATGTCAATCGGCAAAGAATAGCGAGCCAGCAGTTAAGGGACTACTGTGACAGCACATCCACCGATATTGTACTTATTCAAGAACCAGGCATGGTAAACGGCGCGGCCTACGCCTTTGAAAATTGTAGGCAGGCAGGGACCGGTGACAACGCGGGCGCGGTCATTGTGGTCCTCGACCCTAATTTAAGGGTGATCGAGATAGCGGATTTGTCCAGCCAACATATTGTTGTAATTAAAATATCGAGAGGCAGCGGTAATGATGCAATCACAGTGGTGTCGGCGTATTTTAAATACAACACGCCAACCCACAACTTTATAATAAAGTTGAGGTCAATACTTGACCGGGAAAGCAGAGCAGTCATTGGAGCTGATGTAAATGGTCACTCGCCGCTCTGGCATTGCGACAGTACAAATGACCGTGGTAGCCAAACGGTTGAATTAATTGAGGATTTCGACCTCACGGTCGTTAATCGGGAAAGCCCACTAAGAACGTATGAACGGGAAGGTATGGGGTCATCAAATATTGACGTAACCCTCGCGACACCGCGAATTGCAAACCTGGTGCAGGGCTGGTCGGTAAAGGATGTAACCGACAGCGACCACAACGTGCTGACGTTCGCCGTAGACCTCAGGGCCAACAGAGAGCCAAGGGAAGTAGCGCACAGGTACAACACCAAACGAGCAGACTGGGCCAAGTTCGTCACATGCCTATGTGACCAAAGGGCCGAAATTGACAGGTCCAACATACACTCGCACGCACGGACGATAGTCAACGTGATACAAAGTGCTGCCACGGACTCCATGCCAAGAGTGAGTGTAGCAGGCAGGAGGGCGGGTAAACAGCCTTGGTGGACAGCCGACCTCACCACTGCCAAAAAGGCACTAGACCGTATGAGGAGACTTGGCCTCCACAGAACTAATAGACCAACATATAATCTGGCTCGAAATGCATACGTCGGCCAAATAAGAACGGCCAAACTTGAAGCGTGGCGTTGTTTTGCTGGCGACATCAACGCCAATACGTGGGGAAAAGCATTCAGCTGGGCCAAAAACGGCTCTAGGTCAAAAAAGATCCCCTCCACCGTGGTTCGCCCAGATGGAGCGATGACGGAAACGATCGACGAGACAGCGGAGGTGCTCTTAGGGTCTTTCTTCCCAAGAGAGAGGCATAAAAGAGACCTCACAAAGAGCGGGCCCCTAGAGTCATACGATGGCGAGATAAACGCCGAAAGAGTCAGGGCGGCGATATGGCGGATGAGTCCTGGAAAGGCACCCGGAGCCGAGGCGTCACGGCCGGGATGCTGAGAAAAACATGGCCAGTCTTAGGTGATGAGATAGTACACCTCTTCAGGTCATGCATCATAGAGGCCACCTTCCCTCAGAGTTGGAAGTGCGCCAAATTAGTTGTACTAAAAAAGCAGGGAAACAAGGATACCACTAATCCAAAATCATATAGACCAATCAGCCTGCTGCCTTCAATGGCGAAAGCGCTCGAGACGTTAATCATCCAAGATCTCGAAAATGAAACGGACCTAAACAGTTATAACCAGCAACATGGATTCGTGCCCGGTAGGTCGACCATCACGGCCATAAAGTCCTTATACGACTGGGTTAAAGGCAGTAACGGCAGGCATGTGTTCGGGGTGTTTCTGGACATCACCGGGGCCTTCGACAACGTCGGCTGGTGCCCGCTGTTGTCCAGACTCGATGCACTTGGCGCCTCACTAAGGACAACTAGACTGATCCAGAACTACCTGGGAAACAGATCAGCTAGCCTCGAGATCGAGGGAAAACGTTATACAAGAACTATTGAGCGCGGCTGCCCGCAGGGGTCTCAGCTGGGCCCAACGTTGTGGAAAGTTGCTATGACAGACATAAGTAATATACGATTGGAAGGCACAGCCAACATAGTGCTGTATGCAGATGATATTGCCCTTACGGTGGCAGCGGCGAGACCCCACACAGCACATAGCCGAATCGAAAAATACCTTGACAGCCTTAAAGCGTGGGCAAAGGCGTATGAGTTGGAGTTTTCACCGGCCAAGAGTCAAATAATCAGCCTAAAGGGAGGACTGAAGCCAGGCTATACAGTCGGTTTTGGATCGGGCGAAAATGACCCAAGGATCGTGGCCGAAGCGACGGCAAAGTATCTGGGTGTCATTTTGGATCCCAGGGAAAGCTACTGGGACCATGTATCGTCCCTTAAAAATAAGTCAGAAGACATGTACAAAAGACTCAGACGAATGACGTCAGCAAATTGGGGCATGGGCCGAGCGACTGCAAAGGTTATTTACGAAGCCGTCTTCCTCCCGCGTATTACGTACGCGGCTGAAATTTGGGCCGAGGGTGGATGCACCCTGAAGAAAGGAATCAAAGTCCTGGGTAGCATGCAAAGGGAGCCGCTCAAAGCAATAACGAGCAGTTATAACACCGCGTCAACCAACTGCCTTTCGGCAGTGGCAGGAGTTCTCCCGCTAGACCTCGAGGTCAGGAGGGTAGCGCAGAAATGCAAGATGCGAGCCGGAGAAATAACAAACGAACAATATGAACAAGGGCTCAGGTCGCTCACAGAGGAGTGGCAAGCCAGATATGAAGCCGTGGACAAGGGTGAATGGACCAAGTTCATGATCCCGGACGTGGCAGCACGGTGTGGACTGCCACTGGAGTTAGACCACTACACAACCCAGTTTTTGACCGGACATGGAGACTTCCGCAGCAAGCTCTACAGTTTTAAGCTCCAGAACAATCCCAACTGTGCCTGTGGAAACGGGGCAGAGACAGTAAGGCATGTGCTCATGACATGTACAAGGACACAAAGGTTCCGCGAAGAGCTCATGACAACTTTGAGAAGTGAAGGGGTGGACTGGCCCCCGGAAAAAGGCGCCTTCCTCAGTACCAGGAAAACGTTTAAGGCACTCAAAAAGTTTAGCAAAAACAGTCTGCAGAATAGAACGGATAGGTAGGACCTATAGAGGTCAGGACGCAGCCACACCAGGCGGTGTAGTGCATAGTCTCGGGGTGTCCCGAATGAGCACGCATGGTGTAAGCGGCACAAGCGGCGGGGCACGCTCGAGCGCGTCCTGACCAGGGGCGTGCTCATGCGCCTGGGGCGAGGAGTTTGGCCCTGTTGCTGGGGCCGTCCAGAATTCAGCACCAGTATTCCCTGCTTGTCGTAAGAGGCGACTGAAAGGGAAATGGCCAGTCGGGGCCGGCGTCCGGGACGCGGACACACCGAAACCTCCGGGGACTAGGGTGTTGGAGGTTTTGACTGCGACCTCGTGAAGAGCGAGTCGATCACCTCGGTGATGCCTCTGGGAGGCGTGGCAAAGGCTACCGAGCCTTGAACTTGGGGGTCGCGGCCACCGCGCCAGGGCGACCGCCGCTGGTAAGGGCCCACCGTGAGCCCGTGATACACGATCCTAATCTTGGTAGGACCACAGCTGAGACTCCGGTCGACGAAGCTCGGCCCGAACATCCAACCACTGATGTGCTTTCCTAACGGGAGCGAGAATGGTACTTCGGGATGTGGGGGGGGGCCCGCGGCGTCGAGTTGATTGACGACGTGCCCTCACACGGCGGTCGCGCCCAGCCTCGGTTGCGGCGCGGTCGACGGCGGTTTGGTTTCGGAGTGGCTGTTAGCAGGAGCTAACCCTATGGTTAAAAGACCAAATGCTCGGTCTAGGGGAAGGTTGCCGAGTGAGAAACTCCTTAGCGCTCACCCAGCCTACCGGTGGGGCTATATGCACCGGAGGTTGCCCGTAACCAAAAACGGGAAGCAATGAGGATAGCTTGCGACCCGACCTGGGTGGCGAAGGGTACGTGCATGCCTCAGCCAACGGTACGGGCGCACTCTCTCCCGACTTCGTTGGGAACGGGTGTGCGCACGGTGCTCGTGGTCCATAGACGACGCGCGGGCCGTGGTTGGTGGCAACGCCACCGTACGCCGACCGTGAACCTCCGCGCCTCTCGACTAGCGCACAGCGCTAATGTGAGGTCCGCGGTTGTAGCCGCAAGGCATCAAACCCGGGAGTCTTCGTGTCCACATCATAGCAACCAAGTTCCTATAAAAACTTAATAGAAACAATTCAAAATCTGTTGCTCTGGGTTTCTTGCGACAATGTGTCCACACACATGGAACATTATAGTATAGTCAGTACTAGAATTATTAAATAATTTTTAAGGTTAGGTTATCTTTAATCATCAATCATAAAGTTAATCAACATTTTGTACCTATCTATGTTAATTATGTGGGACGATAATGAAATTTTAGAGGTTGCTGCTGCATATGTGATAATTCGTGGAAAAACAAAAATTAAAAACCGCAAATGCTGGGTTCGACCAACCCTACAAAGCAGAAATGAATATGGAGGATCACAACTTATGGCAAGTTTAATTAAGGATGATCAATTTACTACTGGTTGTCATTTTTTCAACTTCATTAGAATGTCAGTCGAAAATTTTGAAGAGCTACATTCTAAAATTGAACCAATGATAAAAAAGAGAGACACCAGCTTCAGATATGCTATACCTTCAAGAGAACGTTTACTAGTAACATTAAGATTTTTGGCTACAGGTGATTCTTATCAATCTCTTATGCTACTTTTCAAAATTTCCAAGCAAGCCATTTCCTTGATAATACCTGAAGTGTGTAATGCAATCAATGAAACACTCAAAAACCTTGTAAAAGTATGTAGGTATATTAGAACACAAAATAAATCATAATGCTTTAACTTTAGTATACTTTACTATGATATACTATACTATAGGTACTATAACATTAATATTATTTAAGAACAATAACAATATTAATTCTTTAACTTAATTATATATTAATAGTATTATAAATTTTCAACTCAAAAATTTTTACTGAACTTATATGAGTTTCTATTTTATGAGTTCTGAAGAGCTTTCAAAATAATATTATTGTTTTCATTTTCTGTTGTCCAGTTGTCTTGATCAATTAACTGATAAGTAGTGGAGTATGATGGTGAACTTGAATAAGATGATATTGACATAGATGTTGCCGATGTTGGAGAAGGGGTAGGTTCTGACATATATGATGAAGACATTTGGTATTGTGACCCTGGTCCAGCTGATTGAGGTGGTAGATCATATTTTCCCAGACTAGCTTCCCATAAAATATTTGATATCAAGTGTTCCACGGTATTTTTAGCATAATCAGTCTTAAGATTTTCAATTTTACATGCAACAAATTCACCAAAAATATCACTATTTTTTCTGATTTTTTTATTGTTGTATATATCTTTCATAATTGAATAAGCTTCTTCTTGCCTTTGTTCGGTGTCATTTTTTTTGGTTTTTATCTTTGTTACCTACAAATACAAAAACTAACATTATAAATACTATTTTTAAACAATATTATTTATTTACAATACCAATGAGAAATAATTTTGAATAAAAATGATTCTGTAGCAAGGGTGGGTATTAAAGCTTTAGTTAAGCTAACAATAGTCAAGTTAATATAAATTTTTAACCACTAAGTTATTTTTTTGTTATTATTAACTTGATTGTTAACTTAAAAAATATTATTCAAGAATTAACATTTAATTAACTAATTACTACTATTAAAATTTCATTGCAAATATTTAAGTATTACTTTTTTTGGACTTTTAAACGTTTTCGTTTGAATCATAATAGTGTAGGGACATGATTTGTTTTAGACGAGGTATTAGAGCTTTCTGGTGAAATTTTTTCAGACAAATCATGAGAAACTGCTTCTGATTCCAATGACACCGTATTCTGTGTGTTTTGTTCTTGGGTATCCTCTACCACTTCATTTTCTATACATGTATTATCTTCTTCTGCACTCTCTTCATTTTCTTCTAATGAAGAATCTAAAGATTCTAAAATATTCTAAAACAAAAATATTATACATTCAAATGAAAAAAAAAAGGTCAATATTTAATAAGTACTACCTAGACTTTCAGTTTAAAATTTTAATAATTTTTTAACACAACTTAGTATAAGTACAAAACAATATTATACAAAGCAGTGCTTTTAAAGCGTAGAGACTAATTAAATGTTATAATTTATAATGATAAAATATTGTAAGAAATTTGCAAATAAAAAATATTTATTCTAACTATAGATGCCTCAACATGAAGAAGAATGGTTGTCAGTAGCAAATGAGTTTAATATAAGATGGAATTTTCCTCATTGTGTTGGTGTCATGGACGGAAAACATATAATGATGCAGGCACCAAAAAACAGTGGAAGTGATTTCTTCAACTATAAAGGTTTTTTCAGTGTAGTTCTTTTTGGGATTGCTAATGCAGATTACCAATTGCAATTTTTCAATATTGGCTCACAGGGTCGAATATCAGATGGTGGAGTATTTAATAGTACAACTTTCAAAAAAATGATGATTCAATCAAAACTAAATTTACCAGAAGAGGCTCCTTTACCTGGCCGGTCCAAAGCTGTACCTTTCGTGTTTTTAGGAGATGATGCATTTCCATTATATAATAATATATTAAAACCTTTTCCTGGACAGCAAGAAAAAGAATCGGTAAAGAGGATATTTAATTATCGACTTTCTAGGGCACGGAGAGTTTCTGAAAATGTGTTTGGTATATTGGCTGCAAGGTTTAGAGTTCTAAGAAAACCTCTGCTTTTAGAGAAAGAAAAAGTTGAGATAGTAATTAGTTCATGCATATATTTGCATAATTATCTACGAGGTTGTTCCAAGTCTAGAAATGCATATACTCCTACAGGAACTTTCGACTCAGAAGATAAGGATACTGGGGAAATCATTCCTGGTTCTTGGAGGGATGAAGTGAACAGAGACAGTATATTTACACGTTTAAATAAAACAGGCCGAAAATCATCAATTGAAGTTCAAAATATAAGAAACGAATATGCTTCATATTTCACTACACCATTAGGCAGTGTTCCATGGCAACAGTATTATTAAAAAATCAATTAAAATAATACCTAATTTTAAATGATATATGTGATTATAAATTCAACAATTAATTAATTATTATATTTTATTGTTTGAATTGTTATTTTTCATTTGAAAATTTAAAATTGTACACTGCAATATTAAATTGCATAGTATTATAGGAAATATGGTACATTAATGAAAGTGTAACTTTTATTTTAAATTTATTATTAGTAACATTAAGAAAATAATATTTATCATTTACATAGTAAACACTAGGTAGTAAAAGTAAACCTTCATAGTATAATAGAGTAGTTATGGCAATCAATACTAAACAAATAAATAACTAAACAAAGCTTTAATTTAGAATTAATGATCGAAGGTATTGTAAAAATATTGTAGACAATATTTTCAAAAAATGTATAAAATACTAAACAAATATAATTTTAGCCACTTATACCAGCAAACCAAAAATGTTATTCAATTCAAAAGATAGTAGAATAATTACTTTTTGTAGATAGTTATAGCTAATTAAGAAAGTGGTCAATGAAACTTATAACATAATTTTGGCCTTTTTTGCCTGTCGATTCGTCATACATATAATAGTAAGATTTGCCAGTCTTCCCGGAATATATACAAAAATTATAAACCCAAATTTGACGTTTATAAAATACGTCTCCACAAGGAATGTGTGGCAGTGGCATATTTTGTTGAAAATCAAAACTCAATAACTCAACTTCTTCATCTAATTTGGATTTTTGAACAAACGATTTCAAGTCAGTATAAAATACTTCTGCTTTTCTTATATGCACCTCTTTTTCTACCTCAAACTGACGTTTTATTTCGAGATTTGTTTCGTGGTCAATTAAATTTTTTAAGCGGTCACAAGTTTGACACGTATCTGTTTTTGGTGTTCCGAAAGTTAAATTGAAATTATTTTTAAAGTATTCACTAAAATATTCATATTTAACAATTTTTTTTATCTTCGTTTCACCTCTTTGGATCATTTCAAATACTTCCGGTTCATTTTTTTGATCGGCTGTAATGGGACTGGACTTTTGGGAAACTGTTAATATGGGCATCTATTTTAAATATAATGTCGTTTGATATTTTATTTGGGCGTTTCAAGTGTTTGCCACGTAAATCTTGTGGACTTGGTTTATTATTTTTGATTAATCGTATTTTATAAGTACATGAAACCGATTTTTTTATTTCGGGTGTTCCTTTCACTAGAGGTCTACGTCTTTGAACATTATTTACACTGATTAGGCCACATAGAAAAGTGTCTTGTTTTTCTTTATTACCTATTGCATTGAAGGTATTGATTATCGAAGATTTATCTGTATCGGTGATTTTAGAAGAACATTTGTACAAGCATTTACATGCAGGACCAGTTACACGTTTTGGTATTACCTTGTTTGTATAAATACTTGTATACTCCTCACCTGTGGCCCTATGTTTTTTTGCTACATTTCTTTTCCAAAGGCTTGGATTTGCTTTTCTTTTCTTACCATTCCTTGTTGGAACTTCGTTAATAGTTTCTTCATCAGAGTTGCTACTATCGGTGGCTTCAATTATATCGGGACCATCTAACTTATTTTTTTCGCATTCGTCATCAGTGTCCAAACATAAAATACCCCCTAAATCATCACTGTCAGATAAACCATCATGTCTTTTAAAAATATAAACTCACTGTCATATAAATTATTAACTGTTTCAAGTATAAAATCGGGGTCTGCGAAAGAATCGTCCAAATCGGAAAAGGAAACATCGAAATCTTCGAGACTATTAAGACGTATACTACCATCACCGTTCATATTGTCATATAATATAATCAAAACAATAGGTAATAAAAATATTAAAATATATTGTTATACGTCTTTATATTATAACCGATTAAAACAGTAATACTATCAAATACTATAAAATACTATAAAATACTATAAAATTAAAAACAGCTGACTACGAGAACAGCTGTCTACAATAAATTAATAAAATAGGTAAATAACGTATGATTTACGTGATTAACTGATACGTGATAACTGATCAAATAATCATGAACATTAGAGGAAGGACGCCGAACACAGCAGAACGAAGCGTAAAAGCATGGTCCGGAATTATTGCATTCCGCCAGAATGCGCGTCGGACCGTAATGATGTCGTTTTTACATGTATAGCATAGGACATTTAATGGTTTTTTATTATTATTATCTAAATGGTGAAATTTATGAATAATTACTATAGAACATTTTTTTAAAACCAAATTGCCCTCGATCGAATATAAGTGTTTCCAATAATATACGACTTTTATAAAAAGAGACAACAACTATATCTTTTTTTATAAAAGCCGTATATTATTGGAAACACATATATTCGATCGAGGGCAATTTGGTTTTAAAAAAATGTTCTATAGTAATTATTCATAAGTTACACCATTTAAAATATAATATTAAAAAACCAATAAATTCCCTATGCTGTACAATATGTAAAAACGACATCATTACGGTCCGACGCGCATTCTGGCGGAATGCGATAATTCCGGACCACTTTTATATACACAGTTCGGCGTCCTTCCTCTAATGTTCATGCAAATAATATTATGTTATCACTTATCATATCATGCGGCAGGAACAGTGTTGTCCATGTTTCGGTCATAGACCTTATACTTATGAGGACGCAATACCACCCTTTTTTCGTATCCAAAACATGACCATTTTGATAAGAAATAACTTACTACATGATTATTTTACAGCTAAACACCCAGGAACAAAGTTAAAGAAAATAACATTACCGAGGGCACCTCGGAGCAATTTTTCAAA